CAGCCGCCCGTTCCTGCCCCTTCCCTCGATCTTTGGGTGCTCGCGGGTGATTTTGGGAGTGCTGAGCTGGGAGATGTGTGCGTGGGTGAGATCGTACGGTTTGATTCGGACTCTCCCCTATCAGCCGCTTCCTCCCCCCCGCGCGTGGTTTACCGGGGTGTTGTATCGGCACGAACTTTCTTGTGGTTGTAGCCGCCGGATTTGGTCCCTGCGTGTCCCCATCCTCGGGCTGCTGGCGCTGCGCGGGCGAGCGGGCTCGGGCTGGCGCCGGCTGCTCGGATCGGAGCGGCTTTCCTGGTCTGGGCTTAACTGGGCTCCTGCCGAGAGGGTGTTTGGGGTAGGGAGATGCACGAGGAGAAGTTGTAGGATGCGGCGTGTGAGTGACACCTCCGTTCCTTGAGGTTGGGGGGTGGGTGGAATCTCACTCTGGCTGGTGCTACTCGCTGCTGCCAAACATTCCCTTCTTTTGCTTAGGCAGGACTCTGGCCACGCTGCCAGATGGCTCCTAACAAAGAGAAGTTTAGGAGCGTCAGGGTATCAGCTCCCAAAATCACTGCTCAGCTGAGATCCGCAGGTGACAGCACACGGTCTGATGCCTGTGCTCGTGTGCTGCCTGTTATTCAGCTGCAAGCACAGGGCATCTGACTGGCCCGGGAGGTGGGCAGGGGATCAACAGTTTGAGAAACCAAGGCAGCCACGGCTCAAAGTTGTTTAAATCTCTAGCCGCTGGGATCACTGAACACTGGGGTTGGCCCCTGCCCTCCCCCCCAGCTGGAAGAATGTCCAGAGTTAACTAAAAGGAAGTCTGCATGTTCGTGTCTTTATTACCTCCTGATTCAGAACACAAATATGTGACATAAAAATTAACTCGAATGTAGCAGCCTGTCTGCCTCCCATGACCTGTCAGACCGGAGAGATCCCACCCCTCAGCATGCTCAGCCTCATGTATTTTGGTAAGAGAAGTCTCCAGTCAGGTGACTGAATGTTATGTCTCTTGAGCTCACATTATGGGACTGAGTAATTCTGTGAGGGTTTTTCTGGGATCTCCGGCTCTCGGTCTGAATCCTTCCCATGCTCTCTTAGACTTCTCTTAGACTTCTCTTAGAGCGCAGCCAGAGCTTTGCTGTCCCTCTCTGTTGGGACCTGCCTTCCACGTTCACTTGGTTAGTAAATCCCACAGGTTTTCCTTCTCAGAGCAGTGGATTGTTTTAGGGGTATTGCCTTGGTGACAGTAGTGTTAAATAAAGGTGAATAAAGCACCAGCCTCATCATAGGACTGGGCTTTCTGTGATCTTTGCAGACCAAGGAGCTGGTCTTGCAAAAGCTTGGCATTCATGGGACCTGCTCTGGAGTCTGTTAAAGTTGGTGTGGGACACCTGAACGGGCTTTGCATTAGGTTAATTAATGCTAATAAGCACCTGTGCTCAAGGATAATGATAATTTGCAAGATTAGTTTCAAGTTCTTATTTGTCAGCAGAACCTCTGGAGGCTTCCTCGATGTTCAGACTGTTGAACTGAGTTTTATTTCTGCTTCTCCTTGATATCTGAGCAAATTTGTTATGGAATTGTAAAAGGTTTATGGGGAAAGTGTTTCAACACATCAAACAGTGAAAATGGTCATGTGGTCACTCTCTTGTTCAAAATAAGATTTCAGCGTTGTCTTTCCAGTCACCTGCTTTATAAAATTTTGTAATTTTAATTAAAAACCCGTAAAATTGGCTGAAGTTAAATATACAGTATTAGGCTGCATTATGTTGCTCCCACTTTTTACTTATGAGAAAGAACGAATTGTTTTTTACAATTAAATATAAATTAATATTCAGAAGTATCAAACAGAAGCCAGTGCTCTCTGGTAAGAAGTCCCATATTTCCTGTGAATGGGGCATTCAGCCATTTTCACTTTGAACAATCCATCCTGCTTTAAGCACCAGGCAGCAGAATTAATATTTAAGCAAATGCATACAGCAAAACTATAAATCTCTGAAAACAGTTAATTATATTGGAACTGGGAATGTACCTTCGAGTACAGCCTTGTATAAACTATTTCCCTGTAGCGTGATCACAATTCTTGCAAACCTTTTATCCTCCTATGTGAAATCATTTCTAATTCTCTGTTCCTTCAAAGCATGGGCTTGCTTATTGTTTTCAAAACCATGTGGTTTGAGCTACTATTTAAATATAATATTTATGATATTACTTTGGCTGTTCAGCTCAAAAAGAGAAGTGCTGCACACCATTGCATATTAAAAAGCTGCTCTATAATTACTGCTTTTTGCAGCACTGCTGTGCAAATCTCTGGGTCGGGAATTCAGATGGAGACTTTCTACAGTTCACAGTTATTTTATATAAAAGCTGTAAGTCTTTTTTCTTGAAACGTGGGGGTTGCAGCCATTGGGGAGTGTGAGTGTGCTGCCTGCACTAATTTTTACATTTTTATTGTGCTTGCCATTGGCCTCTGTGTGCTTCCAGGTGCATGGAGAGTGTGGTGGGTTCCCACAAACTGTCCATCTGTTGCAGCACTTTGGGTTTGAATTACCTATTTGTACTTTTTTTTGCCATATTGTCATTTTATGCAAATATGTCCATTCTGGTTGTGTCACTGGGAGGCCTGGAAGGCATTTCCACTGCCCTTCTCTCCCTTGCCTATCCATGCAAAGGAAACTGTGGCACTGCAAGAGCCAGAACCCAGTGGCAGTTCCAAGCCAAGGTCACTGGGAATTTCTCCAGGGAATTTCTCCAGGGATGGTGATGGACTTTAGATCCCACTAAGCAGTCTAAAGGTGATTTAGACCATTCAGGAAGATGATTTGGGCCATTTAGATGCAGGTAGGATTCAGGTCTCACAGTCTCCTTGTGTTCTCCAGGGTGTCCTACCTGTTCCCTGGTTGCTGCTCCACCAGCATCCAGGTGTCCTGTGACACATCCATTGGATCTGGTGCCCTGGTTTTCCTCATGTGTCTCAAACAGCCTTGGCATCCCCGTTCAGGCAACTGAGCCCTCCCTGCCTATCTCCCATATTACAAAAAATGACTAATACATAAAACCTGGGATCAAGGCAGTAGTTATAATTCCCACTGTGAACCCCAGAAAGGGTTGTGCAGATGTTAATGGAAAGCTGGATAAAATTCAGGCTCATTGTTGTGTTCTGCACAGACTGACTGAGCTGCCCCAGCAATTGGTGCTTCCCTTTGCACAAACTGACTGAAACCTCAGTGGGGAAGTTCTGTGTGTTAAGGAGAGGGAGATGAGAAAGTTTGTAGAAAATTAAGAGCTGCTCTCAAAGGAGACAAATCCCAGTAGAATCAGCATTAGATTGCCAGGTGAGTTCAGCCATATGATACTTGGATGTGATTCCTGAGGTAAATCAGTGTATTCCTGTAGAGAGGAGGGATTGTGGTTAAGAGTTTGCAGAGTGTGACTCTTACCTTATAAATTAATACAGATCATGTACCAAATTTATGAAGAGACAATATTGCACACCCTTGTGAAGATCAGACTCAGCAGTTGAAAAGGAAAATCTAAGGCATTCAGTCAGGCTGTCCAAAGACAAGTGCAGAATCCTCCAGGATAAGTGTGTTTGCAAACACTTAGATCTGACCAGTGGTGCTCAGCCTTGGGCAGTTTCTCTTGTCTGGCTGCTGCTCCAAAGGGAAAGTATTGAAATTTGCCATATGAAAGCAGTATGAAAGCTGCTTTCTGAGAGAGGCAGGTGAAGGTCAGCCCTTGGCCTGCCCACAGAAATGCAGCAGGAGTGGAGAGCACGCCCAGCTCTCACCAGG